ATCATGAATTCCGTACGATTCTTTTTAAAGGGTCGCGTTTATGGTGGGCGCGGCGGTCCTGGCGCGCTTAGCGGTACGGTCGAACATTCTGGAAGCCGCTAGGGACGCAGAGTCGCCGCCGACTCTGGCCTTTCTCTCAGTCTACGTCCTGCTGTCATCTCGACTGGTCGCTCCGCTCTGCTCTTCGTCCAGCCGTCAATCCATCGTCCGTCCGCGCTGGTTGCTGTCAACGTCCAAGGAGTGGTGCAACGCGAAGGAGCCGAATCGCCTCAAGGCCGCCGAAGTCCCAGGTAACCACTAGGAGCGGAGGGGCATCCGAACCTCTTGGACAGCCAGAGGGGAGGATGCTTTCGATGCCCCTAGTGGGCTGTTGCCTCGTAGCCCTTAGGTTGTAGGCAGGGTTCGTCCTGTAGGCTAGGGCCGTGTCTTTCCTTTTCGTAGTTGATCTTTTCTTTTGTTTGTAATGTCATAGTTATCAGTAGTCATTAAATCAATAATTTATATGTGTGTATTCTCGATCGATAATGACAAGTGGTAATGCCATGATATCTTTATTGATTAGTTAGTGGTAGTAATTAGTTAGTGCTTTATCGGCTGCATAGCTGAGGTAAAGTCATGCTCGGCACTGTAGGTCCGTCTACGGTCTTGTCGTCTTTTAGCGTATGTTAGCTGCAGGACGTAGGTTTGTTGGGTAACATCTGGTAGATAGCCGTAGTGCGCACCGCGTAGGGGCAGTAAGGGCCTATAGGTTGCGGAGAGTAGCAACAACAGCACCCGCGTGGCAACACCGTGGCGAGCACAGGCAAGCGCCCATAAGTCCCCTGCACGTACTCGCGCCGAGCCCGGTGCTTAGATGACATTGGCGGAGGGATTGAGTCGCCCCGGCACTACACTGGGCGAGTTCTGTTGTGGTCGATGTGGTTGCGCCATTGATCACAGCTGATTTCCTGTTGCCAATAATGTCTCTGCCGATGTTCTTTAGCAGGTCTTCTATCATTATGGATAGCAGAAGCGGCGGG